ACTCCTTTGGACATGATTGTTAAGGAGCAATTTACTTTCCAAAGTTGTGGTGCCTCTATTTAGAGGAGCAATTTACTTTTCAAAAGTTACGGTGTCGGAGTAATTTACTTTTCAAAAGTTACGGTACCTCTGTTTAGAGGAGCAATTTACCTTCAAAAGTTATGGTGCCTCTGTTTGGAGGAGTAATTTACTTTCAAAGTTATGGTGCCTTTATTTAGAGGAGCAATTTGCTTTCCAAAGTCATTTAACCTTTATTTAGAGGAGCTTTGTTTGTTTTCAAAGTCGTTGAGCCTCTGTTTAGAGAAGTTTTATTTATTTTCAAAATCGTTGAGCCTCTATTTAGAGGAACTTTATTTATTTTCAAAAGTCATTGAGCATCTATTTAAAGAAGCTTTGTTATTTTTTCTTTTAAAAAAAAAGTGTCAAATTGATTAGGTTGTCTACATCTTTGCACAATTTCTGTTTCACAAAAAATATGCAAAGAGGGGTAGCTGTAGACACTCCAATCTGTCTGAGGGTCTACAAGATCAACTTTGACAATTAAAAAATTAAAAATAATAATAAAAATGAAAAAACAAAAAAAAGTGTTTGAGTTTGCATAAAACTGGGCTGGTAGAGTTTGGATTGGATTCAAAGATTGAATCTCAATCATAAGAAAAAATTAAGATTGATCAGAAACTCTTCTGATCAATCCTTATAAATAAACGCTGAAACACATAAGAAGAGGGAAAAAAATTGACAGCAGGCAAGGGAACGTGAAGCTGCTGGCACCAAAAGAAAAAAAGAAGAGGAACCAAAAAAAAGATGGGGCAGCAAGAACAGAAGAAGCTTGCAGGAACCAAAAAACAGTGAAAGGCAATAGTTGAGAGGAACCACATGCGTGTGGAGTAAGTGCCTTAGTGTGCTTTGATGCCTTCGTGTCATGTGATAGGCGCACATTGATTTGGTAGAATTTCATCCCAAAGGCTCACGTCAACTTTGGTACTTTTACTTGCTTTTATTTTTTTTTTCAAATTCTTTAATTGTTTGGTACTTATTTTTTTTTCTCTTTATTTGATTTTTTATTAATTTGTTTTGTTTTATGCATAATTGTTTATTTATTCACTTTGTTTTATGGTTTTCATTATTTGATATTAAATTTAATAAAATAATAAAACAATAAAAATTTTGAGAATAAATATTAATCATCCAATGATGGAATTTATAAAAATTTCAAATGGTAAATTTTTATGAAATTCCTAGGTGAGAAATTTTGTTTAAATTTATCCAAAATGGTGGAATAATTTAAATAAAATTTCAATAACAATAACTAATATTTATTTTCAAAAAAATTAAAAATTAAAAATAATAAAAAACATAAAAATATAAAATTTTTGGAATTGAATACAAATTACCCAATGATAAGATTCTTAAAAATTTCAAATGGTAAATTTTTAAGAAATCTCTAGGTGAAAATTTTTTTTTAAATTTGACCCAAATTGTGGAATGATTTAAATGAAATTTCAATACAAGTAATTGTATTCTTTTCTAAATAAAAATTTGGATTGAAAATATTTGATAATTATCTAAAGATGAGATTCTTAGAAATTTCAAATGGTAAATTTTTAATATATCTCTAGGTGAAAATTTTTCTCTAAATTTGACCTAAATTGTGAAAAATTTAGAAATTCAAAAAGAAAAAATATCTTTAATTTGACCCAAATGGTGGAATAATTAGATTTATTTTCGACGAAAATTAATAATAATAAATAATAATAAATAAATCTTTTTTCGACGACAGAGCCTCTTCAAAAAATCAAATGGGATTCTTGAATACTCTTGAAGTGAGGAAGTATTTTTTAAGAGTTCTACCAGATTTATGGAGAATCTTAAAAATTGTTTCTAATATTTGAAACCATTAGACTTCGAACCTTAGGATAAATTTGAAATAATATGGTATCATCCTTTGGATTGGCATGTGAGGGTTCTATAACCTTCTCCGTATGTAACCGAACTCTTGAATCTTGTTCTGATTAATAGATCCGAACTTATTCTTTTAGGGACCCTTAGTCAAGCTTAGAAGTTCCTTAAAATAATAGATTTTCTAGGTGACCAATCACACCTAATAAAAGATTGATAGCAACTCCATTCATTTGTTAAATCTAACGATAGATCCCGGATCTAAATGTTATGACAATAGTCCCAAGGCAACGCCAAGATTTGTAGTTTCAGCTCAAGGACGAGAATAGAGAGCACTTTTACTCAAAATCGTTCGAAACATTCGAGTCAGTAGCTAGATCCTTTAGACATCTTCCAAGTTCTCTTATATTGCTCCAACTATATATAATTTTTCGTATGTCCAATGTAAAAGCTCTGACTAACCCCTCTAAGTCATGCTTTCTGAGGCCTGTAGTTATGGAATCAATATGTGAAGGATAAGAACATAACAAATTCTGATAATCTTTAGTTTGGAAGAGGCCACGGTATATAAACCAGGAACCCCAAGCATCGTTCATAGTTCAGAAAACTAGTTAATGCTTCATTGAAATTAGGAGCTTACAGTTGAACGTGGAATCTGAAGAAGAATAAATGAGTTAAAGTACAAACACAATGAGTGTATTTGTTAATTCATACAGGCGATGAGATATCTGCAGAAGGAAGGTAAGATGGCAGGAAAATGAACAAAATGAATACAGCCAAAACTGTTGGCGAAATATAAGAGTGGAGAAAATTTTGCTTACCAAGATATAAATGGCAGTTGTGAGCATGAAGTTGAGCTGGGGATATTCTGGGATAAAACAAAGAAGCCACTTGGGTTGTCCATTAGGCATGTCTGATCTGCATGTAGGAAATGCAATTATAAGAATTTTATAGACCTTTAAATTTGTTACTCTTGCACAGCTTCAGTGCTTTGTAGAATTATCAAGCTTAAAAAGGACGTAGAGGAAGAACTAGATATGATTGAAGGTCAAACTATTTCACTACCAGGCTATTTTATAAATATCAGTTTGAGGAAAAATTAAAAATAGAAAAGTTTAATTGGTTGACAAACCTCAACCAGATATGAAATTGAGAAATGTAAGTCTCCAGAGTAATCTTGCCAAGCCACCTAGGTAGCACAAAAATGTATCATAATTAGAGCAAGTGCAAAATAGCTCCAAAGACTCCACAAAATGCAAATCAGTAATCCACAATCTAGTCAGGAGAGCACAATTAATGAATTAGTAATAGTCCAGAAGCATACGCAAAAAGAGTCAAAGAGTAACTTCGAAGCTGTTGAGTACAATTCCGCAAGCAAATATAGACACTAGAATCAAAAGAAAGCAGAGATGATTGTCAGATCCTGGAAATTGAACTAAAGTGATTTGTTTTACAAGATATTCCATGTGCCTTCACATAAAGTTCCTCAAGTGTTCTAAGTAAACTAGGCAAAGAAATCCTTAAATACGCATGTTACGGGAATCCAAGATGTGTAGGGATGGTATTTGTTGTAAGTAACCTTGTCCATCTTGTAAATGCATTCATACCACATATATCCAGCCTGAAGAATTTAAGAAAATACATAAAAGCATCCATCAAAAACCAAGAAGCATAAAAGTAAAATAGTGATCAAAAGATCAGCCAACTTACAAATACAGAAACTGCAACAATGCTTGCTTTGATTGAGAATCTTCTCTTGGTTTGACATTCCTCCAATTTTTCCATCCATTTCTCGACCTAAGATTTAAAACTTTTCAAAGAGATTGTTGTGCACCAAGGGACCAAGACTTTCCGGTGATTAAAAAATTTAACTTACATTGGGATGATAGTAGGCATGTATCAATCTAATTATCCATATAGAGCGATCAAGGCCAGATCTAAACTACCACTCATGCAGTTGAGGGAGATCAGGTTTTGCAGGATCAGTGTACCCTGCATTTGAAGGGAGAAAAAAGTGATATAAGCAAACAGCTATAACATATCCAAGCCAAGAAGAATGAACTTGTTTTGAGATAAATATGAAAATAAAAGTCAACAGAGTTCATTCACATGTGGGGTACGCATAATTGAAAGCAAGACATTCAAGGGAGCAGAATATAAGGAAATGAACTTTCTAACCTGTAAATTACTGGTAAGTTTATAAATTAAATAAAAGTAGAAGGAAGTAGGTAGGTTGCTAACCTAATAGGAAAGCTAATGGACTCCAGAATATTTCAAAAACTCCAGGAATTTCCCATATAAATATAAGCAATTAGAAAGCATGCAAGAATTTTCACAGCCATCACTGATGGTATCTCATTATACTTGTTGAAAATCCCAAGAGCTCCATACACCATTAGGGTGAAGAGGGTGTGCATTGGGCAGATGTAGTAAAGCATATAATCATTGTTGAGAACAATGCAGCAAAATGCCACAAAGAAGTTTAGTCGCCACATCATCTGCATTAAATTGAAGTTATACAGGTACCTCAGTTTTATCGATATGAATAAAAAAATAAAGAAATACATAACTGGAATGCTGATATGGCATTACAGCCCAGAGAGAGAATATCACCTGGGGTGAAACGTGCTAGCCTAAAGTCCTTTCTAATATAATAGTACGAGAAGTTGCCAAATCCAAGGAATCTTAACTGATTTGTCAAATGAGGTTTTTTTTTTTTTTCTTTAATTTGGAATCTTCTACAAACTCAATGTGCTGTATTACACTACAAAGAATAAGAATCTCTGCCACTGAGTTTCCCTCCTAGCTTAAAAGTGAAAGAGGAGCCATGGTTTTATATTCATGATTGTGAAGTGGAAATTGAGGAGGTATAAAAAACAGTTAAACTGTAAAGAGCAATTAAATTTGGGATAGTGCAAATTTTTTAGGTTTTAATTTGGTTGTTTAATCTTTGATTGGAAAACAAAAGGCCAAGAAAAAATTTTGATGATCTGCAAATTAAGCATTTAACTTTGATGGATAATAATAAGAAAATGGTTTTATTTCTGCGTGACCATGTACAAATTATCTACGATGAATTATAAGGGCAGGAGATTATGGCTTTGATTTTGGGACCTAAAACAATAGGGCTAGAGATGATACCAGAGACATGGCTTAGTTGCTGCAATTTGACAAAGAAAATGAATAAAAAAAATGTCTTACTAAAAAATAGTACAGAAAAGAGAAAAAAAATGATAAAACCATAAAATAAATTTTGTAGTTTGCTTCCCTGATCTTCATCTGTGTTGTAGCGAGCTGACTTACCAATGATGTGGAGTAGCAGTTCTTGAGGTTTTCCCACATCAAAGTCGAGGAAGTTTCAAAAGCAGCCAGCCAGGCAGGGAGGAAGGAGGAGAGAGGGAGGAGAGTTTAAAACGAAAAAAGAATGTAAATATATATACCAGCTAATTGTGGATGGCAATGCAAGTTCTCTTCATTGCCCTGAAAGAAAAGAATCCTTCCATCCATATGAAGCACGATTGTTTGTAACGACACAAATTGGATGTGGCTGATGATGATGATGATGATGGGTATATGGCCATAGGATTTGTGCAGACATGAATCATGTGCATGTTTGAATTTGATGGGTCCGCGGTGACTGATATTACTGGAATTACAGGCAATTTTGAAGAATATGGCTGATCCAGGCATGGCTTTATCAAGGTCAATTAGTTTGCAATCAATAATTACTACATTATTTGCAATATTTACAGCTTCAGACAACAGGAAAATCATAAGCATTATCAAAGGCATCAGTCAAGATCATGCAATTAGTGGATTGATTTGACCATTTTATTTTATTCGGTACATCTTGATATCTTACACTCTGCTAAGAAATGGCAGTAAATTAGTATCATTGTTTTCTTTGCTACAAATCTTTGATACGCCATGAAGCTCATGTCTTCAACCAGAGGAAGCTCTTAAAGCTTGATTATTGACATCTATGTTTTTCTGTTCACTTTCAGACTCATGGCTATCTAGATAATGCAGGTAGGCATATGAAAGAAAGCCCCAGAGAGCCAAAAACATGGCAACTACCTTTATACAATCCATTTTGTCAGGAAAAAAGATAACAGCAAGAATCGGAACCACAGGCAACGCGAAAACAGTTACGGAGTTGGCGAATAAAGAAGACAACTCAAAAATCAGTGCTGTGCTTCCAATAGCAAAACCTTGCCAGAATACACATATCCAAACTAAAACCATCATATATGATAACTTTCCTAGTTCAAATTCTTCCATTTCTCCCTTTAGACCTTTCCATTCTCCACTAACAAAAAGTCCCACCAGTATTGCACTTGCTGCTACTATTGACTGATAGACTATCATATCCATGACTGCTGAAAATGCATCCCTTTTTATGACCTTCCGAAAGCAGAACTGTGCCAAAGAGAGTTCAAATCCATTCACCGCAGATGCAAGAATGGTGCATATGAATCCGATTACATGCTTTCGTCTCGAGACTCCCTTGGGAGTTGAAGAGTCTTCATGAGACACCAGGAGGATGGAAGAGATGGTGAGAAGGATCAGAGAATTGACTATGAAAGGAGTGAACTTTTGTGAATTGAGAAAATAGGAGAAGAAAGCATTGAAAGCTAACTGGGATACAGAAATGAGGGAATATGTAGACACTGGAAGGTATCGCAATCCAGTTGAGAACAGCAAGCAGTATATAGCTACAAGCAGGCCAAGGCAGACATAAACTGATGCAAGAATCAGGATTGATGGTGGTCTTGTGTTAGTACTTGTTGCAGTTGAATTTTTAGTGAAGAAATAGTAAAGAATGATAATTGGGAAGCCTGCCAGTTGCATAAGTGTTGCCAACCATTGGCTCTTTCCACCTTTGTCAAAGTACAGTCTTCCCAACATTGTAGCAATTGACTGACCAGAAACCACAAAGAGTGTATACAAACCTATACGTAGCCATCGCTTATAGTTTTTGGGTCTAGGCTCTATCGATTGATTTGAAAGCTCCATATGTTCCTCCGATTTCGCCTCCAGTCTCCTGAACTGGTAAAAAACAAACAAAGTATCGACTTAGGGAGCATTGATCCGTGCTTGTGATGAACTTGATTTTAGCTAAACACTCGAATCTGTAATATGTTATTTGGTTCTTTCTCTTTTTGTGCTAAAAGAGTACGTGGGTGCTTTGTAAGTTCTCATATTTTGTCATGCTTTTTAGCTTTTGGGCTGTCAGATCTTTATTTTGGATAGCAGAAGTTTCTATATTTTTCTTTTTGTAACAGATCAGATGTCAGAGCACCCAAAGCAGTAAGCTCTTGCAGATAAATTGTATGTATTCCAGAAAAGTTTCTGGAATTCTGAGTAACAAATGATGTAGTTTGCTATTGCAACTTGATCATGTTCTTAGGACATCTTTAGGTTTATATTTACAGTAATAGTAACTCCTAGAGATGGATTTCTTTGCTATTTGTACTTACTGAGAGGGAATCAAAAGTTATAGTCACTACTCACTTCCTGTAGCCTAGTTCAGGTGTAGAACTAAAGAAGCGAATAAGAAGTCATATCTCAGACAAAAAGGAAAAAAAAGGAAGGAAGAAATGACACTTATAACGCTGGCTAACCTGGGATCGAGTGTTGCAGTAGCTCAGCTTCTCCCATGTCAAAGACAATGAATATTCTTCAAGATCAAGTTATGAGGAAAGAAGAGTGGAAGAGATGTTATATAGACTTGTACTCGAATGACAATGAGCCATGTAAATGCATGGCTTGCCTTTTCGAACAAAAATGGGGAATCAACCCAAAAGGACCTCACTCAATTTTTCACTGGACCCATCCTCCACTGAAGGTGCAGCACAGTTAGAAATCAGAATGGTCTCCACCGTGCTGTCTTTGCTCACAAAATGGGGTGTGTGGCGCAATTGGAGACCCAGTTACGGCGCATTGAGGCTCCGTTTGTATCAAAATGAAGCCTCACGATCTGCTTTCCGTTGGTTTAGTACCATCCCTTGTTGCACCCGCAGAGCCTAAAGAACAAAACAGAAAACAGCACCGTATCTCTTTTCCCTTTGGGCTAGCTAATAAGCCCAAGGAATTGGTTCCCGATAAGATGGCCCTAGGTGAGATTCCCTTAAGATAATGCACATGCATTATTATAGTCATATTATGATGATTTCAGCCTCAGGAAAGAGGAGTTAAACATTCTTTTAATTACAGGGGCGACGGCTCAACGTTTGGAGTTCAAAACTTATTATTTGGAAGTTTCAAATCCGAATCTTACAAGAAAATTTTTCTTTCGGCTGATATGAAAATTCAACCAAGTGCGCACTTCCTTCAGCTTCGGTCATTCACAACAATTCATCAATAATTTTCTGTGATAGCGTAATCTTCATTTGTCTACTTTGATTACGTTTTTTTTTTCTTGAAGATCAGGTTTCACCTATTTTATTCATCAAAGTTTAGTGGCCAAATTAAATAAAAAATCCAAATTTAGCGACAAAATTAAATTAAATTAAAGTAAATGGACAAAATTCAATATTGAGATTATCAGCCCTTACCGCCTTCATTTTACTAATCCAGCAAGGAGCTTTTTTTTTTTAATATAAACGTATATCTAACACAATAAATTAGTGCATATTTAGTGATTCAATTTGTTATGCGAAGAAAATCTGAACAAAACTTAAATTTCAATATATTCATGGACTATTTACGTGTTGGATTCGAGCGTATGATTGAAATATTATATATATATATATATATATATATATATATATACACATATGTGTGTGTTGCAAGATGTTAGCATATAGCAAAAGAAAACCTTGACCCTTCGGAAAAGGAAAATAAAATAAAATAAAAATACAGGAAGGAGATATTAGGTGAAAGGAATTAAACTTTGCTTTTTCCATAATTTACACATTTGGATGGCAGATACAAAAGAAGCATGATACTTCATACATACTGTTCTGCTGGAAGGCTATGGCAGATACAATATGCTGTAACCCCCTCAGCAACGTGTATCAAGCAAGCATTCAGGCCTTCTAACAGCTGGAAATTGTGAACCTAAGCTCCAATCTCCATCACAATTATTAACCAACAGATTATCCTAGAGGATTGATTAACTTGATAGGAATTTGTTTGCCCAGCTATAACCTTTAATTAACAGAGGCTGCTAGAGAAAAAACATAGAGGCAGTTGAGTGAGCAATCTTACCATTCATTCATAGAAGCTAGGCTCTGTTATCTGAATGAATAACCTCTCCGAGGGTGCAATCTTCAGAAATTTCAGTGGCTATTCTGTTTTCGATCTTCGACTTTTGATGGTCAAGATAGTGCTGATAAACATAGGAAATGAAGCCCCAAATAGCCAGCACCAGGGACATTCCCTTTATTCCGTCCATTTTATCATGGAAAACGAACACAGCAAGTACTGGAACAATAGGCAAACCAACTGTACCTATGGCAATGCTGTAGAGGGAAGACACCTCAAAAATTAATCCTACCGTACCAATAGCAAAAACCTGCCAACTTATAGCAGTCCAAACCACAGTCATGACATAGGAAATCTTCCCTAGAGCATATCCCTCCATTTCCCTCTTCAATCCCTTCCAATCTCCGCTAGCAAATAGTCCCACCGCTATAGTGCATGATGCAACCAGTGACTGAAATACTATAACATCAAGGATAACTTTAAATGTTTCCCTCTTTAGTAGCTTTCTGAAGGCGAGCTGCTGTGAAGCAAGCGCCAAGCCGTACACTGCAGCTCCACCAATGGTGCATATGAACCCGGCTGCATACTGTCCTTTAGAGACGCCAGCAGGCTTTTCAGTATGATTATTTGCTACTAGGAGAACAGAGGAAATAATAAGGAGAACTAGAGAATTGATGATGCATGGAGTGAACTTTTGTGAATTAAGGAAATAAGAGAATAAAGCATTAAAGGCCAGCTGGGATGCTGTAATTAGAGTAACTGTAGATACAGGAAGGTACTGTAAGCCAACTGAATAAAGAAAGGAGCTTCCAGCTACAAGTAGCCCGAGGGGTACATAGACCAATGTTAACAGTTTCAGGAAAGATGGTGGATTTGAGTCGATAATGTTGTTAGCAATGGAAGATTTGCGTAGAAAAATGGAGTAGCAAGGAATTAGAATTGGGAAACCACCAAGTTGGGCAAGTGTTGCAAGCCACTTGCTACTTCCACCTTTGTCGAAGTAAAGTCTTCCGAGAATTGTAGCTACAGACTGGCCACAGAGGAGAAAGATTGTGTAGAGAACTATCCGGAGCCACCATCTGTAGTTCTTAGATCGAGATCCTCTCATGTGGTTGATACCATTTGTTTGCTCGGTTGAATTTTCTTTATTAGCTTCTTGATCTGCAAAATGTAAAACGATTATTACTTCTTTATCAGAGTCACATTACAGTCATGCCTGCAGCTTACACATAATTGTAGAAAACAGAAATTATATACGGTGGCAACTGAAAACATGAATCCTATATTCCATGGATAGAAACAAACTTGGAGTTGTTTGGAGGGAAGACATGTTTCGAGGTAGTTGAAGATTTGATCTTACCATTTCAGTAGAAAATGTTTAGTCAAGGAGAGCAATGAACAATATCAAATGTCTGCAATTACCCAACTCTCTCAGTTGCACATTTTTCTTGGGAGAAGAGAAGAGAAGTGCAGAGAAACATGTTACCATTGACTTGAGAAGAGAAGTGCAGAGAAACACGTTACCATTGACTTGCTTTTCATTTGGATAATCGAAAATTTTATTCCAATATCCAAAGAAAGCACAAACATCTGCTACAAAGTTTATAAAACTAGGATTAACCCAGAAACACCAGCCCGTAGATCATTTTTTAGTACAACAGAAGAACTAATACAAGCTATCTGTCATGTTATCGACTTTTTGTAAGCATTCTAGAAAACCAGCCAACTTACCAGTGATTTCGAGTTCTAACTGAACTTCTGCCATTTCTAGCAAGCTAAGCTAAATGGGATTAATGCTGAAAATTCAAGCCAAGGATACAAAAAGATCGGAGACGATTTTGCAGCCAAATTAGAAACAAGCATGTGAATTTAAATACTGGGCTAGTTCTCATATCTGATATCAGTGACATGACATTGACGGTAATAAATGTGCCATTAATCCTAGCTGCCTCCTACGTCCAATTGCTACTCTTTCTCTAGCAAACAGTTTTTATTTTTCCTTGTAATAATTAAAAAAATACTACTATAATAACTTGAACCCATGATACCTTTAGAAAGATTTATATAAAATTCTTTAGATAAAGTTCGTGAAATTATCAATTAAAATAATTAAATTAAAATTAAAATTGATAAATTAAAAGGTTTGTTATATATATTGTGTAAAATTTAAAAAAATTAATAAATTTTAATATATATTTTATATAGATATTTTTAGTAAAAATATTAACAAATTTTTATTGAATAAATTCGATCAAATTTAAATTATAAATAATTTTTTTAATAATTTTTTTTACGTATTAATAACTTTTACATTAAATACTATCAATCGATTTAAATTTTTTATATCAATTTAATCATTTTTAATTAAAAGTTTTATGAATTCACCTAAAAAAGTTTCATATAAATCGATTGATATTGTTTAATAATAAAAAATTATTTATAATTTCACCTAAAGAAATTGTTATTGATGATCATAGTATTTTCTTTTAGGTGGAAGCCTAAATTTTAAAAAATAATAATAAAAAATTGTACAAGTTGAAGATCGAATATATATTATTTATCGTAAATTACAACGTGACTTACTATTTTCATTTTAGTCCATTCAATTATGGTCTAAAATTTTAATCACATAATTTCACCAACTTTTACTCATTTTTGTCACTGATTAAATTGTTCCTCCTACCTTTTTCTTAACTAAACCATAACCTGTTTGTAATTCAAAATTTATCAGGTCCAACAAAAATGGTCAGGTTGGATGGGTCATTTATGATAATATTTTATTATTTTTTATTATATCATTATATATTATAGTTCCTAGTTGAAAAAAAAAAAAAAAGGCTGATCGGCCTGCCAAAAAAAAAAAAACAAAAAATAAATGTGAGGAATGATCCCTTTATATATAGTAATAAGATTAGGCACATAGGAGTTAGTAAAACAATTTTTGAGAAAAAAAAAATAAAATGACATATATTTATCTTCTTAATTCTTGAATGATTGATCAAAAAGATTCCCTTATGATTAAAACAACGAGAAAGTGAAGCTTCCATTAATACGTACTGCATCATCCATCACTTTATGTAAAACCTACTCTCACTCTTACAAATAATCTAACAAAGGAAAATCATTGCTGTTTCAAGTTTTGTTTTTATATTTTGTAAGTTTATGAGAATTGGTGACGAGATGCCGTAGGAGAGAGAATTAGATAAGCATTTAAAAAAAAAGATATAAAAATTAGTCCTCATAATCATATGATAATATTAATAAGAAAGGGTACTAATTTGTCTGTTTAAAGTAAGTATTTTGTTATTGATGTAATAAATAAATGAAAAATTAAAAAATAGAGTTGGAATATGGATGAGATGTAAGGATAGCATTTGTAGAATATTATATTTAGTTCAATTTTCATTATTATCTCAAACGGAATATTTATTTTTTTAACATAAAATAAAATAAAATGAATTCAACATTTTGTTGGTTTAGATTATTAAATTTTGATAATCAATATTCAATTTTTGACAATTAAAATATTAATTATAAATTTATGGTCATTATTTTTATTTGCCTCTTTTTCTTCCTAATGTCTAATATACTTTATTAATGCCATTTATGAAACTATTTTTTATACTGGGAATGAAAGAATTAGTACCCATTAACTTAATTTCTTGTTGAAATATTTTCAAAATAAGTGAAAAGATATGAAAGAAAATCAATTCAATATGAAACTTGTGTAAATATGATTTTACAAGTTTGCTTAAATCTTTTAAAAAATGTGTTCTTTAACTTATAAAGAGTTGATAATTGCATGAGTTTCAAAATATGTTAATGAAAACAAAAAAATTGGTTGAGTAAACAGTACAATTTGAAGAATTACAACTTATGATAACATTCTCTATAATTTGATAAGTGAGAGATTACTCCAACATATATGATAACACAATTAGGATTTTAAGTTATATCTCACTCAGTTTTTAAAATAGATCAAGTCTCTTATCTATTATTTCATGCCAAAAATAATATATAAAAAAGATAATTTTACTATTCGTTTAGCGATTTGATTTCATTAATGCAAAGTAAAATTAAGTACAGGTTTCATTGCAAACTATGATTATATGATTCATTCCATTGCATATTATATATGGTGATGGCAAAATAAGCCTAAAATAAAATAACATTTACAACATGTCTTGAAATCATATTTTCTCATGTTATAATTTTTAATTTTAAATCCATCGAACTCATGAAAACAACGTTCTTTGAACATGAAAAAGCATATAATAATTTTTAAATCATTAATGCAACTTTATGTTAATTGGAAAATTGCACATACATGAACAAGATAAATTGCATTGTCAATTACTTGGAAACAATTGACTTTGAAAGTTGGGGATGGTGTGAAGTGTGATATATTCAGCAATAATGGGAAATGTTGATCCGTGTATACCGGCATAGAAAATTTGTTAGGTGAAATTGTAAGCCATTATATTTGCTGTTAGATTTTTTTAACAAGTGGAGAGGCTTGCCAACAACCTCTTGGCCTGGCAGCAAACAAGAAGATTTATGAAACATGTGGACTTGGCTCAAGTTCAAGCAATCCCACTTTGAAAACTAGTATAATTGCAAGTGGAACTCTTATGAATTTTAAATTATTTTTCGTGATAGATTTGATTGGGGGAATTGCATATATTTCAACTTAGAATCTGGTAGGCAGATCAGCAAAGCTTATTTTACTAGAAATAATTTTAAAAAAAATTTAGTTTATTATAGTTCTTTATAAATATTATAATTATACTTTTGCAGAAATCAAATAATTTAATTAATTTTCCACTATTTTCTTAATCAATCACATGATCCTAATGGCATGGAAAATTTTCAACTGACTTGGCCCTCCAAATAAGTGGAAGGGTCCCTCCTTAAATGCCTATGTCTCAAAATATATCAAGCTTTGAATTGACTGAAATATGGTTCCGAGATTCTTTTAAAAATGAAAGAAAATTCTATTTCAATCGACATGCATGACTTTAACAAATTTGTTTCTATTGATCAAGAAAAAATAAATAAATTTTAAATAGAACCCACAAAATTAATGTATAACAAGTCGGCATGCGAAGAAAGTTGTGCAAAAAACAACAAAACATAATGAAGAAACTAGAGCTTTGAACTTTTGATACAAAGAATTATTGTGAAACTTTAATGTAGTTTAATTATAATTTTCAATTTTAAATTGAAATCAAATTTATTCAATTAAAATATTTAAAACAAAATCTATCTATCTATATATTTATATATTATGAGTTAAGATTATATATGATTAATTCACATTAAAGTTCCACCATAATTCTCACGAGACCGAATCTATCAAATGAAAATTCAGTAAGACTTTATTTGGTGAGCTTTTTGCTTTTTTTTACAAAAAATAAAAAATAAATAAAGACAAAATTAAAGTTTGAACAATTAAAATCCTAGAAATATGTAACAAAAAGAAGCTAGCGTTCACGAAACGGCGCTTAAACAAATATAAGAAAGAAAGATAAAGATTTTGACTACTGAGTATATACAACAATTTCCGAATCATCATTATCCCTTGCCCATTTTGTTAGCAAAGTTACCCAAGAAGCTGACATAATAATCTCAACTGTTTTAGTAATGATCTTTCAAGAAAAAGAAAACTGTTTTAGTAACGATGATGCATGTTGATAAATACATTACAACCCCCATTATAGAAAACTACGTAAATTGAATCAGTCAAACCCTTAATTAAAACTCTTAGATTCGCACCAATTAAATCCTGAGAAGAAGAAGAAAAAGAAAGAATTTTGAGAAAATTCATTCTTTCATAAATTTTTTAAAATTTAAATTTTAGATTCATAATTTTTTAAAAATATTATAAATTCATTCATTCTTTCAATTATATCTTTAAAATCCAAACAAATATATTACACCAACTAGATTTTTGCCCCTATGACGCTGGAGCTTATAATTTTTTTATCAAAATTTATTTTCAATATATTTATTATTTGTTAAAATAATAAATATATTTTTAAAGTAATTTTATGAGATTACTTTCAATATATTGTATAGATTTATAGTAATTTAATATGTAATTAAATTTTATGTAAATAAAAAAATATGTAATTTAATAGGAATATTATAGTAATTTTTATCAAACACCACATGTCAAAGTTTCCTAAAGTAATGGTAAGAGTACTTTAGTAATTTCAAATGTAGTTAATTTTATATTTTGTTAAAATTTAATATGTAATTTAGTAAGACATTATAATAATTTTGACTAATTATGATAAGAGTAACATTTTTATAATTATAGTAGAAGGGATATTATAGTAATTATGGAGAATTGTGGTAGGAAGATATTTTCATAATTATGATAAAAAAAATATTATAGTAATTTTAATCAATTATATTATAAGGGTTATTGTCGTAATTATATAAAAAAGTATTATAATAATTTTGACTAATTATAGAAGGATAACTATTATAGTAAATTTGAACATGTGCTAGTTACTAATCAAATAAATAGAGGGGTATTATAGTAATTTTTCTGTGAGATTACTTTTACTATATTATATAGATTTATTTTATTATAGTAATTTAATATATAGTTAAATTTTATGTAATTTTCATGAAATATTTGCAAAGATATTTAGTAATTTAATATGTAATTAATTTTATATCAAAGTATAAATATGTAATTTAATAAGATATTATAGTAAATTTCAAATAAAATATCACTTGTCATTCTATAATTATGATTGGTGAGTCATTATAATAGTTTTAGTCAATTATAGTAGATG